GTGATTCAAATCTGTCTGCAGGTCCTGGTATTCGCTGACAGGCGTGTGGATAATGTGGAACCCTCTTCCCACTGCCCTGGAATCTTTCTAGGGCAGTGGGGCTGTAGGTTTACTCCCTGAAATAAAATGTGGTTAGCAGAGGGGAGAGAATGGAGCAGATAGTGGGTTGAAGAGGGGAGTGGAGAGATAGAGGAGTAAAGGGGGAAACAAACGAGTGTGCCAACAAATAGAGAGGCCTATACTGAAACAGATAAAAACAATAGACCACAACTACAGTCGAACCAACTCTCATACAAACAAAAATAAAACATATAGTGATGCTAACATACCAGCTATCCAACCACCTTATTAGTGTGCTGTTCCTCTATACAAAGACATGGTTTACAGACAGAATAAAAGAGAAGAAAAGGAAAAGGAAAAGAGAAAAAAGGGAACAATAGAGTAGGAATAGAATTAAGTCATTAAACTAATAGAATCAATAAAGCACACTCTGTGACATTTCGTTTAGGTCCAATGTCCTTTCAGGTCTGATTTCTAGTTTTCTTTTTAAGCTGGTAAATTAGTTTGCAGTTAGGGTCCATTCCCCTGATCTGCTGTGAAGGACAGTTCAGAATAACCTCGGTTCAGAAGTTTGGTCTATGTCTTTATCAAGCTTGTTTCTCCCGTTTCGGTGTTGTTACCTTGAATCGCCAGCAGGTGGTGCTATCTCATCTGCTCGCCCCAGAGGGGGTGGGGCCGGACAGGAACAAGATGGCTGCCTGCCTCCGAGCAGGCAACAGGATCCCCACGCCAGGCGGACAGGACAGTCTCGGACGCAGGAGCGGTGGCAGCGATCCCAGCAGATCTTCCCTGAAGCGGTTTGGTGTGGATCTCCTCCGGCCGGGTTGTGATGAGCTACCCGTGTCAGAGGCCGCGGTGGTGGAGGCGGCGGCGGCGGCGGCGGCGGGAGTGCTGGTGGGGGGAGGGGCTGCGGCAGCGGCGGGAGAGTGCAATGCAGTAAAACTGTCCAGTCGTTGCGATGTTCCAGTGATAGCGATGGCTGAGCTCTGTCTGAAGAGCAGGCTGCAATGCTGGGGTCCCCAGCCTCCCGGGGCGAGAGTCAGAGACCCACTGCAGATCTCCCTTGCAGAGGGCTTCAGACAATGGGTTGCCCGGTCGCCATCTTGCCGCCGGCCTCCTAGTGCCTAATTTTAATGCAAACACTTTTAACTTTTCACTATCAATTATGATGTCAGTCATAGACATTTTTTTTACAGTCATTATTGTCTTGAGGTGCTTTCTGTGTATTCTGAGGTTCTGAAAATTATCATCATCAAAGTGTGTAAAATGTTTCTTCTGCCTCTATTCAGATAAGAATATTACTTTTAATTTATCAATGTATTGAAACACACAACCGATTTGCACAGTACAATCTATTTGCATATTAGAGGTAATTCCCAACTGGTCATAGAGTAGAATGCTTTTAGTGTGCTACTGGATTCAGCTTGCTGGCATTTTGTTGAGGATTTTTACATCTATATTCCAGCATATTGACCTGTAATTTAGCTATCTGTGTATGGGCTTGGTATCTGGGTCATGCTAGTCCCATAACATGCATTTGGAAATTTTCCCATTTCTCTAATTTTTTAAAAGTGTTTGATAACATTATATTTTATTCCTTAAATGTTTGACATAATTCACCAAGAAAGCTGTTTAGCCCTTGGCTTTTGTTTGTTGAGAAAATCCTTGGCTT